GAGTAGCATGGGTTCTAGCCCTTTGGGGCTGAGGTGACACCCCACTAGTACCTGGCCTTTCTTGAGGTTCTCCATTTCTGGTGGAAGCCACTGCTCCACTAGTGGATGCCACTGCACTACTTGTGGTAGTCTGCTCCTCACCAGAATGCCTTTGTTTGGTGGGCATACTTTCCTTCTCCGATTCTGTAGCAGACCCACTGCTTAAAACAGGTTCATAATCCATTTACCATTTACCTCTAAACTCCTAGAACACTTAGCCTGAGCTCCCACCTCACTGACAACAACAACCTTCTTGACCCTCTACAGTCTGGCTTTCGCTCACTGCACTCCACTGAAACTGCCCTACTAAAACTCACTAATGATCTACTAACTGCTAAAACCAAAGGCCACTACTCCATACTCTTACTACTTGACCTCTCTGCGGCTTTTGATACAGTTGACCATCCACTCCTCCTCAAAAAACTCCACTCTCTTGGCCTCAGAGACTCTGCTCTCTCCTGTTTCTCCTCCTACCTATCGCAGTGCTCCTTCAGTGTTCCCTATAACGCTGCCTCCTCCTCTTCACTCCCTCTTTCTGTAGGGGTCCCTCAAGTTTCTGTCCTTGGACCCCTTTTCTTCTCCATCTACACCTCCTCCCTTGGTCACTTGATAAACTCCCATGGCTTTAAGTACCATCTCTATGCTGATGACACACAAGTCTATCTTTCTACCCCTCACCTCACCTCACCCCTTCAGTCTCCTCTCGCATCACTAACCTACTAAGTGACATATCAGCATGGATGTCACTCCACTTCCTCAAACTCAATCTTTCCAAAACTGAGCTCTTAGTATTCCCCCCAGCCCGTGCCCCTCCCCTGACCTCTCCATCAAGATCAATGACACAATCATCAGTCCCTCCCCTCATGCCAGGGTACTAGGTGTAATCCTAGACTCCTGTCTGTCCTTTCAGCCCCAAATCCAATCACTGTCCAAATCTTGTAGACTTCACCTCCGCAACATCTCCAAGATACGCCCGTTCCTAACCTCGGAAACCACTAAGCAACTTATCCACTCCCTTGTTATATCTCGCCTTGACTATTGTAACTCCCTCCTCATTGGCCTACCTCATCGCAGGCTATCCCCTCTTCAGTCTATCATGAATGCTGCTGCGAGAATCATCCACCTTACTAACCATTCTGTATCTGCCATCCCTCTCTGCCAATCCCTCCACTGGCTTCCCGTTCCCCAACAGATAAAATTCAAAACACTAACAATAACGTATAAAGCCATTTAGAACTCTGCCCCAAATTACATCACTGTTGTCTCTAAATATCACCCAAACCGTACTCTCCGCTCCTCGCAAAACCTCTTACTCTCTAGCTCCCTTGTCTCCTCCTCCCATGCTCATCTCCAGGACTTCTCCAGAGCTTCCCCCATCCTCTGGAACTCTCCACCCCAATTTATCAGACTATCGCCTACTTTTAGGCGATCTCTGAAAACCTATCTCTTCAGGGAAGCCTATCCTGCCCTCAGCTAATACTGGAATCTTCTATTCTTTTAACCAGTCCATCCCCCACAGTTACTACCTTTTGTACCACTAGCCCCTCCCTCCTAGATTGTAAGCTCCAAGGAGCAGGGCCCTCCTATCCCTCTTGTATTGAACTGTATTGTTGCTGTATTGTCTCCCAGTATACTGTAAAGTGCTGAGCAAACTGTTGGAGCTATATAAATCCTGTATAATAATAATAATGTAGTGAAATAAAATTCCTATAAGTTATCTCTGACTTACAAGCTGGCCTGGATACACTGTTTGATTGGGAACTTCATGGCAAGCTAGGTTTCATGTTGATAAAAATAAAGATATTCACATGAGAGCTAAACATACATTCTTAGCACAGAATGTTACTTATGGACTTTCACAAAGTAAAAGCCCAAGTAGCCTTCCTCCAGAAAACTCACTTGAATCAGGGGGCAAAGACACTTCCCAGTAGTCTACCACAATGGAGCTCACAATGGTGAAAGCCAAAGAAAGAGGCAAGAGTATCCCGATATTGAATATTATTATGTGGAAAATGATTGATAGGCATCCAAGGAAAGTAATGTAGGTACTTTTTCATTAAAGGTCAGATAAACAATACTTTTGTCACATTAGTGATTCTCTCTACCCAGCTCAAACCAACTCATGTTCCTTAAACATAAAATTGAACTTCTCTAAGAAATTTTGCCAAATGTACAGTCACCTTAGGTGGAAATTTAAACTCAGTATGGATAGAATAAGTATGGTAAGAGCATGCAGTTTTACTCCTTTGCCAATCCTAAACCAGTCTTTGTTTCCATTTTCTGCCATGACTGTGGCTTTCTTGCCAGTGTAAAGGATCTTCATTCCTTTGAACAATGAAGATGTTCAGGTACATCTATTTTCCTGAGAACATTCAAAAATTTCTGATGACCAACATAGTTGGAGATTCTGATAATCAATGAAGCACATGTTGTCTTCCTTCTTATACCACTTGGCTTTTTCAGATATCCAGACTGGATCTTGAATAATGTCTCTACAGTAGTTCATCTGCCTTTCCAGTTTGTACATTTGACATTCCTGTTTCAGTACAAGGTTCTGGTTATTGCTGAATATTATTTAGCATAATCTTGTTTGCATGTGATATAAGGAAAAATGTTTGATAATAATTTATGCAGTCTTTTAAGTCTTCTTTCTTTCAGCATTGGAATGTAAACTGATCTCTTTCAATCTGTTGGCCATTGAGTGGCTTCCCAGACTTGTTGGCAACATTTCATTGGCACTTTGATTCTTCTTCAGTTGCTTATAGTAATTTTAATACAATGTTATCAATGCTTGTGACCTTGCTTTTTTTGGCAATGATTTCAGTGCCAGTCTATTTTCATCTTTCCTTACTGATGGAGGGCAACATGTTTCTATATCAGACATTTATGGAGTCTTACTGCATGGTTGTCAAATAATTATTTGGCCCATCGACTTTTATCTTGGAGTGTCAAGAAAAGCAAATATTTACAAAAGGCTGCATACTATTCCTCCTCCTGGGAGTTCACACAATACCCCTAGTGGTGGGGCATGGAGATAAGAGAGCCTCCACCCAGACGGCCAGGTGCCATGACATTTTACTGAGGTCAGAGCAGGGTTGGCAGCGGAGCGTTGTTGGAAATATAGCAGTGCCCCTGGTGGAGACAATCGAATTCCGGAAGTAATCCTACACTTCCTAATGAATAAGGAGGACAGCCCCTTATGAATTATGGATGCTTGCTCATTGGATGGAGAACTACACCAGGCGGGTCCAGGGTGTGTGTGTGGGAGTGCTTGAGAGGGCCTTTAAATATAGTGTGGGCCATGTGTTTGCTCTCTGTCTGCTCTCTTTCTGCTTTGACGTGGGACCAGCTAAAGGTACTCAGCTTTGAGGACGAACTTACGTAATGAATCATCTTTGCTATTATTCCTATATACTTTGTAATATTGGCTTAGATTTCTATGTTAGTTTTACTTCCTTTGTAAATAAATAAGAATTTGCTTCTATGAGCATTGTGTTTGTTATTATCGCTAATGTTGCATTGTATTACGTCCTTCTTTATTTTCAAAGCTTACATAGTTATTAATTAATTATACGAATCGACAAATAGTACATAATTGTATAATAGATAGGGGATCCCAGAAACAAACCCCCCTTTTATTTATTTCATTTACTAAGCCCAAGGTCACATCAAGCCCAACTTTGAAATTGTGCGACTTACAGTGAAGTTGCACGATTTCAAAGTCGGGTAAACCGCCGATTTCAGGCGCGATTTGCAAGACATCTGACACAGAGCACAATTTACTAAGTGGTATCTTACTGCATCCCCGTATGCGGTAGGATACCGCATAGCATTAAAAAAAACGTTACTAAAATACCACATGAGTTATTTTATCAAGTCATGTGGTATTTTAGTAGTGAAAACCATGCGTTAATGTTGCAGCTGTCAGTGGGTTTCCCCACTGATAGCTAAGTAAGAATTGCCGGCAATTAAAAAAATAAAAAACGACGTGGGGTTCCCCCCAAAATCCATACCAGGAAAGGGGGGGCAAGCGGGCCTGAACCATACCAGGCCACATGCCCTCAACATGGGGGGGTGCTTTTGGGGCAGGGGGGCTCCCCCCCAAAGCACCTTGTCCTCATGTTGATACATATTTACATATTTAAGAGCTGTCAAGTCAGCGAAGCAGTCAGACGGCCAGGAGCCAGCATCAGGAGTGGAGACTTTTTTATTTTATTTTTTGGGGGGGGCGGCGGAGGGCATCGTGATTGATGTTGGATCTACTTTGGGGGACATTCTTTTATTTTCCTCTTAATTAAGGACTTTTCAAAGACTGTCTCCTGTCTCTTTTCACACTACACTTTATTTTTGTGAATGGGTAGCTGTACCATGTACGCTAAAATCATTGACATGGGGGGGGGCTGGGATCTGGGGCCCCCTTGCTAAAGGGGGCTTCCAGGTTCCAATAAGCCCCCCACCTGCAGACCCCCACAACCACAGCCCAGAGTTGTGGGAAAGAGGTCGTTGTCCCCATCAACATAGGGACAAGGTGCTTTGGTGGGCTTTCCTAACAAATGTTGTAATATCAGTCCTTATCCTTCTGGAAGCTATTTGGAATTCACTAACTAGCCGTTTTAACCACTAGCATACAGGGCACTTATACCCCCTTCCTGCCCAGGCCAATTTCCAGCTTTCAGTGCTGTCACACTTTGAATGACAATTGCGCGGTCATGCAACACTGTACCCATATGACATTTTTAGCATTTTTTTTGTGACAGATAGAGCTTTATTTGGTGGTATAAAATCACCTCTGGGTTTTTTACTTTTTCTTACACAAACCAAAAACCACTGAAAATTTTTGAAAAAAAAAATGTTTTTTCTTAGTTTTTGTTATAAAACTCTGTAAATAAGTGATTTTTCTCCTTCACTGATGTACACTAATAAGGCTGTAGTGATGGGCACTGATAGGCTGCACTGATGGACACTGATAGGTGGCACTGATGGGCACTGATGAGGAGGCACTGGTAGGTGGCACTGATTGGCATTGACAGGCATCACTGATGGGCACTGAAAGGCAGCACTCATATATGGCACTGATAGTCGGCACTGATAGGCCGCACTGACTGGCGCTGATAGGCCGCACTGTTAGGTGGCACTGACTGGCACTGTTAGGCGGCACTGATAGGCAGCACTGACGGGCACTGATAGGCGGCACTGATGCGCACTGATAGGTGGCACTGACTGGCACTGATATGTGGCACTGATTGGCGGCACTGATAGGTACTTATAGGTGGCACTGACTGGGGCACTGATGGGTGACACTGAAAGGCAGCTTAGATGGCCACAGATATGTGGCATTGATGTGCACTGGTAGGCACTGAAATGTGGCACTGATGTGTCACTGATGGGCACTGGCAGGTGGCGTGGATGAGCACTGACAGCTGGCACTGATGGACACTGACAGGTGGCACTGCTGGGGCTACACTGATCATCAGGGCACACTGATCATCAGTGCTCTGATGATCAGTGTACATGTCCCCTCTGAGGAATGCCGATTGCCGGCTCTCCTCTCCTCTCGAGCTGTCAGCGTGACAGCTCATGAGGAGAGAAATGCTGATAACCGGCATTTCCCTGTTTACATGTGATCAGCTGTGATTGGACACATGATCGAGCCGACATCTTCAGCTCTTTCCGTGGATCCCGGAGCCGCGAATGCAAAGTTAGAATGGGAGGATGTCATATGACGTCCTCCCAGAACGAGAGAACTGCCTTGCCATATAGTACAATGATGGGTGGGAGGCATAATATGTTATTGATGTTTACTTTTAGTATAGTAGTATTGTTAGGGACCCTGTCGCCGTGCAGCCGTGCGACGGCAACAGATCCCTTCGGGTCGTGGCAGTGCGAGTGCGCATGCACTGGAGCGTGCGGGCGCGCATCCGCAGAGGCGCGAAAGTTTGCGCATGCACAATAGAGTACACGTCACCGCTAGGCATGCTATTTAAACCTGCAATACAGTACAATCAATGCTTTCTGGTCTACAACGTCCCTGCACTTACTACCTGATCCTGGAAGTAGATATACAAATACAGTGAGCGCTCTCAATAGTTAGCAGCTGAGCATTCAAGGAAAAACATATAAAAAGTCCCAAAGAATATATATATAAAAATGCAGCGCTATCTGATGTTATTATGCTATATGCAATTAAATGCAAATGGTTATATGAATATAAAATAAATTAAATAAATGATATCAAATCACAGTCCACAAGAAAAAGTGCTCCTTGATTCCCAGTGCAGATGGTAGGAATGCACACTAACCAGAAGTGTATTGGTAATACGCATATGTGTAAAATATCCTGAAGATTCCCCTCTCTTTTTTGGTCTGGTCATGGGCAGAAGCTGGAAAATATGAAGATGAAGCACTCTCGTGTGGAGAAGATGAGGTCCAGCAGGTCAGAGAAATCTTTACATCTTGGTAAAGATTTCTCTGACCTGCTGGACCTCATCTTCTGTGCATTCCTACCATCTGCACTGGGAATCAACGAGCACTTTTTCTTGTGGACTGTGATTTGATATCATTTATTTAGTTTATTTTATTTCATATATCCATTTGCATTTAATTGCATATAGCATAATAACATCAGATAGCGCTGCATTTTTATATATATATACTACCTGATCCTGTTGCCTGTATTCTGATCTGACCTGACTAAGAAAGAACTCTGCCCGCACAGACCTCGGCTGTCCCTGACCATCCGCTTGCCTGCTCCCTTGTAGTTTATCTGCCCGTTTAATACTGACCCGGCCTGTCTCACTCTGCTACATCTACTTACCTGTACCTGCACCTGGCTTGCATCCTGACGGCTGCCATACCTGCCTGCTGCTGCACCCACAGTCCCACACCTGGCTTGCATCCTGATGGCTGCCATACTTACCTGCCGCTGCACCTACGTTCCTGCACCTGGCCTGCATCCTGGTTGCTGCCATACCTGCCTGCTGACGCATCCACACTCCGGTGTCCAGTCCCAGTCTGCATCCTGATTGCCGCCATACCTGCCTGCTGCTGCACCTACATTCCTGCATACACACCTGGCATGCATCCGGATCTCCTGGGTCTTGAGCTACCTGCTGCCAGCTCCAGATCCACCCGCACTTGTGCCACTCCTGGCTCTTAGCCCTCTGTTCCCACCATCAGGGGCTCCAAGCGGGAGTCGTAAGAGGACGCCTTCTCTCCACGTCAGGCTCCCCAACCAGGTACGTGACAAGTATGTTCTCCAGGTTGGATCTTGGAAGATAATTGTGTGGTTCTTTTTCAATGTCACTTGAAGTTTGCACAATACCAGCTCATGATCGGTTCCACAATCTGCTCCAAGACAGGTCTTTGCTGTTAAAATTTAGCATTGTTTGTGCAGATAATGTAGTCTGTTTGATTTTGATAAACTCAACCTGGTAATGTCCATGTGTATAGCAAAACATGCAAGAATCAAAAAACCATTACTTTGTGGATCTAGCATATGCTGGAAAACAGTTAAAAAAAAAACAGAAGAGACATCTGAGACATCAGACCTACTAAAGCCTCATTTTACTTTCTGCATAACAATGACCTCTCAGGTAAGCAATATAGAATACCATTGCTAATACTTCTAATAAATGCAGTACATGTTTGTAGTCCCCTTTTCTGGGTAGAACCTACCTGCCCCACAAAATGGTTTTACAAAATCAACTAAATAATTCATATGGAGGATGTATGTGCGCATATAAAGGGAACGTGAGACCATATGAGAAATAATAATAACAAATGGAGGGAATTCATGTTCTCACTGGAATACAGCCATATTATGCTTTCTAATTAGGTGCCTTGAAGGTAGGTGGGTTAAGAGGAAGGAGGTGTGGCAGGAGATAATGCAGGACCACCCACTCTCCCTATTTATGTAACTCCCTCCTCCCACCCAAGCCTCTCCTTTTTCCTCTACGTTCTCTGTCTACCATCCCTCTTTGCTATTGTGTTCCTAACCTTTGTGCTCTCCCTTTCCTCTTTCTGTTGAACAAAACGTGCCCCTTAAAAAAGATGCTTTAATTTCTTGCTGATGACATAACATAATTGTGCAAGGAGGATGGGCCTTAATACCCACCCATATGCCACACAAGTGTGTATATGGTGCCCAAGGTTTCTGTGCTGAGAGCAAGCTACCTGCCCATTCCAAGTGCAGTGACCAAGCTGTCACAGACAGCTTACATTTTCTGTTGATCAGCAGACACTAGGATGGGCTCAAGATCATGTGACCACTGTGACAGCCAACCAAAATAATCATGTGATTGGGAAGTCTGTCCCAGGAAGAGGTTACAGTTCATATGCCCATAAACAGGTATAGATGACATGCCATTACCTTAACTATACTAGTATATGTTGAAAGCCAAAGTTATTTTATCTACCTGATAGAATCAGATGGGAGCAACTGTGTACAGCAACCAGTTTCTATTTTCAAAGCTTAACTGAACAAGCTGAGGGCAGAAGCTGATTGGTTACTATGCACCATGGCTCCAGATTCTGTCTGTTCCAGCTTTAGTAAATTCCCCCATTGCATTTTGTTGATGTTAAAAATTCACTGTACATGTTGGGTTTTGTTCTGTCTCTTGACATTTCTTTTGGAAACAAACATTTAAAAAACAACAAATTGTAAAAAAAATAATTATTACACAATCTAGGGGAAGGGGGTATATTTGGGTCAGTTAATGATGGCAAAGGATCTGTATATTCTGAAAAATCATATTCAAATCTGAAGCTTCTAAATTGAACAAAATACTTTCTCACATTAAAAGAGAGACATAATCTTGCCTTTGTACAAATCATTAATAGGACCACATCTTGAATTCTTCTATTCCTGATCTGTGATTGCATTTTAAAGATTCATATTTTTCTTTTCTTTTCTAACACTTAGTGAGTGCATATAATACTTTCTCTATATTCAGCCACTAACTTATTCAGTGATTGGTGATAAAGACTTCATCTGGAATATGAAGTTCAGTTTTGGACACCAGTTCACAAAAAAGTTGTGTAACTAGAGAGAGCACAGAAATGGGCAGGTACAGTAAATAAGGTGCATGGAGGTCCTCAGCTATGAAGAAAAGATTAACTGAACTATATTTATTCTCCTTTGAGCCAATTGTTGTGTGTTATGATCACCTTGTTTAATTACATAAAAGATCCATATAGTTAACTTAGTGCTAAGTTGTTCACTTTAAGGTCATTGCAAATAAAAGAAAACAACTTTGCATCTGGATCAAAATAGGTTAAACCCTTGCATATAGAAAGGTACAATATCTTTATAGTAAGAGCTGTGAAAATTTAAAATAGACTTCCACAGGAGCTAGAAATGGACAACTCAATAGATTGTTTCAAAATAGGCTGGATATGTTTCAATATGCACATAATCTAATTGGCTATTAATATTTATTAAACTGGCTAGTAACATTTCATAATATTTATGAGAACTAACACAATAGATTGTTGGGCCAGAGACTATTCAATTACCTAGGGGAACAGTAAGGAATGTGTTCCTGTTGCAGAGATTTGAACATTATCTCATAAGAGCTCTTGCCTTCTTCTAGATCAAATATAGGTCTGATGATGAGGTTTTACATGTATTTATTTCCGACCTTGGTTAAACTACGTACAAATGTCTGTGTCTTACTGTCCCAATTACAACTCTAATGTCTAGTTATGGTATTGTAAGCATACAAAATGAAAAGAATCCTCAATGGGGCAACACACCAAAGATAAAGCTTGACAGAAGGAGCTAACCCTTGAACACTTGAAACAAAACTTAAATATAAATTCCAGGTTTGGCAATTTTTACATTGGTCCATCTTGGACCAATATGAGTATATATGTTCCATACCCTGTAGGATCCCTCTAGAAGCTGGAAAACACTGCCTCAAGCACTGCTAACAGTGATCTCCACTAGCTTCCTGATCCTGTGTTGAGTGGGTTCCCTGCTGCATTGTAAACACAGGAGAACACTCACTCGGCATGGGCACCATTTGAAGAGAAATTTACACTTTCTCAGTTAATGCAAAATTTTCTCTGATGACAAGGTGGAGGCGGGACAGTGATGGTCCTATATCTACCTTGTTCATTCAGAGAGCACATTACATTCATTGATAAATTAGAAAGTGTTCTATGAATGCAACCCATGGTGAGTGGGCGACCTCCTGTATTCAGTAAGCAGAAATGCAGCTGCTCAGTACAGGAAAATGAAACTAGTGGCAATAACTGTAGTAGTTGTACCTACTACAGTGATTTCCAGCTTCCAAGGTGACCCCACAGTTATGGCACATACATGCTTACACTGGTCCATACTTTACCTGGAATTCAGCTTTAAATAAAAAGAAAAATGTTTGGGAAAATTGGAGCTTTAAAATCAAAAATGTTTTTTTCCCTCTGCACACTGGAAGGTATTTTTGCGTTTTATTGCAAATTAAGTTTTTAAATATTGTCCACAACCTCCTTGAGAAGATTACATACTGTGGTTGATTACTGTAGAAAGAAAATCAGACAGCAGTTTTGTATAGACCCAAATGTTAAGCATACTGAAGAAAAATATATTCCTTTTCTTACCTTGTCTTCTTGTAAGCTGCAAGTGTCTGTGTGCCTGCAGTGTTAAAAAAAAATATATATTAACCTGAAAATAAATCACATACATTCTTTTAAAAGTAATATATATATAT